GAGCGGGCGATCATCGATTTTCGATTTGGCGAGACTCGAGATCGCGGGGAAGAAAAAAAAGAAAAGAAAAGGAACGAGAGAAGGGGCGAGAAGAAACTCGGCCCGCTGCGCGGAATCCAGTTTCTGGAGCTCGAAGGTCGCCGAACGAAAGGAGAAAAAGCGCTTTGCATCTCTCCCGATCTTGCGTCACACGGTCATCTCTATGCATTCCGAAGAACGCGACTTACGTAAGGAGCATCATCCCGAAAAATCACGGTGGAAATATTTTACGGATGAAAAAAAAAAATGCAAGCCCGAAGATCGAATTTGGTCACCGCTGAGATCTGGCTCCGTTGGGAGGACCAACGTTTAGGAAGCTGGAGACCTGGGTTAAAAAACGTTTCCAAACCATTTTATCGTTGGGAAATTTCGTCACGTCTCTGGGAAAGAAGAGGAAAAAAAATTCTCGAAGCGAAAGCAAGAGGACTGGAGACAAAGGGTGGAGGCGCCCATTGGCTGGCATCTCGAGGAGGGCGGTCGGTTTCCAGGTTAATTGTCGCGTCGCACCTGCTGGTGGCGTCACAGGTGCAGGTCGCCTCTTGGTCCTGCGGTCCACCTCGCGTGCATAGGGCTGCATCGCGTGCATCGTCCATTTTAGGGGCCTGCGTGCACTTCTCGGCGAGAAGTTGCGGAGTTTCGCCAGGAACGTGGGAAACGAGGACCCGACCGACGTCGGAATCTGGTGGAAGACTGGAACGTCATCCGGAAGTGGTTCGCGCACGGACCTTGGATTAAGTAACAAGAATGGATCCAGAAGGAAGCCATTTCCCCTTGGCAGCTCGCCCGTAAACGGGTCCGATATCATTTTATCCTCGAGGATCTCCCAGCGATCCGCCTAGAAACAAACGCCAAGGACATCGGCCGAAAATCGCTGACCGTCTGCGAACTCTAACGGTGTTAGAACCGCGGATGCGAGGACTCGCTCGAAGGACGAAGTCAACGACCGGCGTCGACGTCGGTGAGCGTCGGTTTAAGGAGGAGGTAGTTGGAGCGTCGAATCGAGTAAGCGAATCGGCCCAGATCGAAAGCCGAGTGGTCGAATCGCCGTCGAAACTCGCGGAACTCCAATCCAAGGAGGGCACCGACCATGAAAGAGGTCCTTCGAAGGTCCCACCCAGGAGGACCTCCGGACGTCGGGATAGGAGGAGGGTGTCTAATGGAGAAAAAGCCAATATTTGGACGGGTCGGCGCCGTGGGAGTCCTTTTTTCTCCTTTTCTGCCCGATGGAGGGGCTGGTGGCCTTCTGGTGTCGTCAACCCAGGTCTCCGGGCGATCCGGTCTAACTATTCCGGCAGGCTCTATGTCTGGACTCGTAATTGTATTCCAAACGCATTGCCGACAGACTTCCGTCTAGACCAGCCTTGAACCAACAGCCAGGAGAGACGCCGAGCGTCCTCGTAAAGGACCCCGGCACCCTCGAGGCTCTCGAGGACCCTGGGGGTCCGATTCGTCCCCAGGAAAGGTGGAGTTCCGCCGGAAACAGAGGAGGAAGAGCCTGGGAAAGGGAAAGATGGAGTCGTCCTGGAAAAAGCGAAGAACCGGGTATTAAATGAAAAGCCTGCTTCCAGAGATGAAGAGAGGAGATTCGATCGACGTCGACCGTCGAGGCGACTAATCGAGTTCGACCTGGATCCTTCCGGTATCCCGGGGAGCATTCTGGTACCCTGAGAGGGGAGGTCCTTGAATTTTCATCCACGTTCTTTGGATCTCCCTCCTGGGAGGAAATTCATGGAGGACCTTCGGGAACTCTTCGGGACTGGCCAAAGGACTCGATTTTTGGGGCGCCCCAGGATCTCGGGGGAAACCTAGGGATCTTCTGGATTTCGAATCCCGGGTCGACAGGAAACGGCGCAGACGCCTTTCCTCGGATTACCGCGATAGTTTAATTCCGATACGCGGTGTTTGCAGACCTGCATGTGCACACACTCTCTAGAGCAAACGCGAGCTCGTGTGCGCACTTGAGAGCACAGAGACCTGGTGGGGGCCCAAGGCGACGGGCGAGTGTGTAAATAAACTTTATCGAGACGTTGCAAAACATCATTACCCGTAATGCGGATTACCCGGCTGTCCGTCCGAGATCGAGTTGGCTGCTGGCTGGGAGCTTTCTCGAGACTCTCTCTTCGCTCTTCTCTTCGTTATTTCGACTAGCCGAAGTCTGAAAGCTCCAATTTAGTGGATTACTGGTTTTCCAACGACGACGACGTCCATGTATTTTATTTATTCGTACATATCGAGAGGCCAAGCGATCGACCCCGTCTTCCTCTGTCGCGTCGTCGAGCGGAATTAGAAATTAAACATGGCGGCCAGAAATTTGCCGTACCCGTGGTTAAGGCACGCGGTATATTTTCCGTTCTCTTTGCGGAGTAGACCTTGTCTATGGCGGATTTTGCGAGCCCGGGCTCATGTTTTCGCAAATGAACCCACACTCTGGACTCCTCGAGGTAGCCGGCGGTGCACGTCCGTCAAATTCGCAGCCGAAAGCCAAGCGGAGGTGCGCCGGTGTTCGGGCTCGTATACACCAGAGGTGAAAGGCCCGGAATATGGGACAGGCAGAACTCGTCTCTACGTGGGATCGCCATCGGTGGGCCGGCCCGAAAGAACGGACGATCCTAGTCGATCCCTTTACGGAAGGCATACGGTTACCGTCTCCGATCGACTCCTGGAGCGAGCTGGTCGGATCGGTGCCTGCGGTAGCCCTTGAGATGGGAAAAATCCTGGGGCAGCGAAATGGACCGGAGAGGGTGGAGTTACCCCGTCCAGGGACGGAAACGATGCACCAGGACGACGTCGGAGGCAATCCATTACCCCGGTCGATTGATTCGGGAACCCAGGTGGTCGATGGTCCCCGGGGACCGCGTTATGGATGCGGAGGTTCGAATGGACCCATTAGGATCCGCTTTGGCGGGCACGATCCGGGAACGAGGTTCCCAGATATCACGAACATATCCGGAGGAGCCCAAAGAGGCGGATGCCCGAGTCCTCTTGAGGTCGAGGAACCGGAAGGGAATCCATTCGGCCATTTTTGGGAAGCGCCGCACCCACGATCTCCTCGGAAGGAAAGCCAGAGTTTGCCAGTCGAGGTTTACTCCTTTCGGTCCAGGCATGCAAACCTCCTCGACGTACGACCAGACCCTGTCCGGTGCCAAAGGTTGGCGACCCTGACCCCGGGTTCGTTGATCCTCGAATTCTTCTCCTGGCACCTCCGCCGGGTAGATCGACCCACCTACTCGGCCCCGCCATCTTGGATCGCTGCATTTCTCGCCGATGAGAAGCTGCGACCTCCTGGGAACAAAGGAAGCTGAAAAAAGCCGGGTCACTGGGTGGCACGTCGCACCGTCTAGGAAGGCATAGATCGGCATAGAATTTGCTTTCCGTCTCGTCCGAGGCGTTCTAACGCTCGTTTGGTCCTAACCGGACAACCCGGGCCACCTTGACCCTGGCTCGGCGTTAGTCTGGCTAACGTCTCGCCTAGAGCCGACTTCGTAATGGACGACCGTGGAGCCTCTCTTCGGGCTTAATTTATACGCCGACCGGTCAGGGCCGTTGCGCAATCCCGTAGACACGCGACGTTGCGTAGAATTCGCCGTTACACGCGGCGATCCCTGGGCGAAAAAAATAAGAGGAGGCCCCACCCAGGTGGAGCTATTTCTGACCGCGTCCTCGCTTTCGGAGGCGCTTCCTACGTCGATAATTAAACCCGTTCCCCGCGCCAATTACCGACATCCCATGGTGTCCCGAAAACCAGGGCTCGAGTTTCCAGGACCCGGAACTCCAGGATTCCCTTGGGGTCCTGTGAGCTGGAAACTCCCTTGATTTCGCCGGCTCGAAAACGAGTCCAGTTTTCGGCTAGGAAGCGGTCTCGAAAAATGGACCCCTCCTCTCTCGAATTTTCAAAACTACCGCTATTGCTCCTCGAACTACATTCTAGTCCGTCCTAACCGGGAACGTCTGCCGTGCGATTAACGCGCCGACTGGTTTGCCGGAGTGTGTGGGCCACCGCACACGTATGCAAATTCCTGCTCGAAACCAAGGCTGCGTGCCCGTCGAATAGAAAGCAGAGTCGGGGATGGGTCTGGAAGTCGTGGGATATCAATTTATATGGGACGCTAATTTATCGCCGAAGAAGTACTCGAAGAGAGCCCAAGGATGGAGGAATTAGGCTCGTCGTTAGGGATTATGGAAACTTTGCAAGGGCTTCGAGGAGGGAATTTAAGGAGCCGGAGGAGACGAATCTAAGCCTAAAGACCAGACAGTCGATGACCTCGAGTCAAGAGGCCGGGCATCCACTTTGGATTACATCATGGCCGTCCGGTTCTCGATTCGGGCCGGACTAGCCTCGGAAGGCCTTAAGAAAGGAGGCTCAAAATGGCGAACCAGGAAGGAAGGCTCCTTAATCGGGCGCGATCGTTGCGTCCTGTAACCCTCGAGGTCCTGGGAGGGACCTAAGAGAGGTCTCCTATTTTTCCCAGATTTTTCGCCCGGTACCAATTACGGACAGGACGAATTTTCCTGGACAGCGGGGGGAATTAATTCCTCGCTTAAATCTTCCTCGTTGCCTGTGGTTTATGTCTCCTTAATGGCGTAACAAAGACTGCAAGTTGTCGCGATAACGCTGCAGAGTCCCACCGCTTGCGTCGGCCGTAACTCTGGGACAAGCTCCTCCGTTAACGAGCGTTCCACCCTTTTCCTGGGTTTCCTAAACGGTCGCAATAACGCTGTGCGTCGGTTCCCCTGATGGACGGATGTATGATTGCATGCGCGATAAGTTGGGAGATGAATCCCCAAGGTAGAAGTCCTGGCGAGGATCTCCAAGGATGCGCGACCTGCGCATCGAGCCATCGAGGGTTGTCGTTGGATCCTGCCGGGTGATGTCTAGTTCCGAGACCAAACCTTGATTATTAATTAATAACGCAGGTTATTAATTAATAATGAGAATCTCACGAGAACCATCTTGGTTTCAGCTGGTGAACGGCATCGACGGGCCCAGGTACATCTGCGAGATGGAGGTGATGGAAGAAGCCGCTCTGAACGGGAACGACCAGGAATTTGCATCCCCAGGGAACCAGGCGAGCAAGAACGCCAACGGCAACATCATCACCCTGACCCTGAAGAACAACCACCTCATCGTGGAGACCGAAGAGCGAGCCGTGAGTATGGACAACCTCGGGGATAATTTCAGGGAGGGTGGTTCCCCTCATCCTGGGTCAAGAAGGTAACTAAGGGTCGGTAATCTCGGTCGTCTACCTTGAGGAAGAACCCCCGACACCCTGAACAGTGCCCCTTAACATCGGCTCTGGGGGCTACCAGAGGTTCTAGAGGTTCGCAGAGGTTCCTAGAGGTTTCTACAGGTTCCAGAGGTTTTCAAGACTCCTCCACTCCCACGTTTCCGCCCGGAGCCAATAATGCCGCTTAATGGATATCGATGGCGCTTCTTTCCCCTCGTTATTTGCCGCCCTGGGGGGTCGCCTCTCGCGGAAGTGGAGAACTATCGGAAATATCGCGAGGAACTTTTGTCGGTGCTCGATAGCCGTAAACACCTTCCGGAAGCGCTCGGCCGGAAGTGGCCTCGAAGTTGGCCGATACGTCGCTGCAGGGAGTTCAATCGGTATCGTAACAAAAGGAGGTGGAGGCAGGGGATCCAGGACGCCCGGGAGACGGTCGTCGAGATAGGTTTCCAGGGATAGCCTTGCGCCGCAAGTAGGACGTTGGTGGGATGTCGCGAGTAAGGTTGAGGTGAACGTGGCTGGCGAAATTGCCTGGTAACCTCCGACCTTACGGCGTCGGATGAACTTCGGTAATTGGCAGCGTGTCCCGAATCTTGTCAAAGGTGCCCGAAGCCAGGTCGAGCGAATTCAAGGGCATTGTTGTCCCCTAATTCGCCACCTGGGAGTTCGTCACCGACCCTGGTCCCTCGTGGCTATTCCTTTTCCATGGATGACCTCCTGGATGTGCAGGGAATTATTGGCGATCAGTACCCGAGACGTCGAGTTTCGAGGAAGGTCAGGGTTTCCCGGAGGAAGCGAATCGATAGGGCGTCGCAATCAGCCCCCATTTGCATAGGGATCGCTTCTCGACGTCACGGTTGCAGGGGTGCACTTTGGGGCTGCATTTTGGGGGATGCACCCGCGAACGAGCGGGCCAACCCACGAACGAGGTGGCTCTACGCGTCTCGGTTGTCCTGGCAAATTGTTCCGGCAAATTCGGAGGTAAATTCTCAGCATCCCAAGAGGTTCTCCTCTCTTCCCGACTTACTGCCGAGAGTTCGGACAAAAGCCGCTCGAGGCCCTGGAAAGTCAGCCGGTGGACTTCAAAGTCCATTTACAACCCAGCGACTTGGCTCCCAAAGGTCGGATTCTCTCATTCGATATTTATCCCACGGACGACGTATCGGGGTGGGTCGCCCTTTGACGCGGAGGAAGCCATCGGCTCCTTTTTCCGGGTCGACTTCAGGGGGTGGGTTCTCAAGGGCGGATCGAATGGCACCTGAAGGGTGGAGTGAATTTCCGGGTCACCCCAAGAACTCCCGGAGGGTAGTTCCGCGTCATCCCGCAGGATTCGACTTTTTTCGGACTTATCTGGAATTTATCTGGAATTTATCTCGCTTCTCGATACCCAGCCCCAGAAATCCTAAAATTCCGGTAGAGGAAAAATTTCTCCAAGCCGGAAAATTTCTTTTCAGCCGTGCAGGATTCCTTTCGAGCTATCCTGCAGGATCCCGTGTTCCCGTCTACCCAGGGCCTTACCCCGGGTTCCTTCCTCCGGGATGCCTCGCACAAAGCCCTGGCCGGCTATCGCACAATGAAAGGGCGTGGATCGGGGGTGGGGCGAGTGCCCCCGGGGGCGAGGGGAGAAGCTCGCTTTTCCCCGATCAATTGGGGCGGAAGAGGGTGGCAACCCTGTTGCCCGGTTGCCCCGCAATTAACTGGCCGACACTCGACGTTCGACGAGCACCCCCGGACGTTCCTCCGACTCCTTCGAATCCTCCCCCAGGACGAGGGATTCTTCGCCCCCTCCCACAAGAGGGGTTTCAGGGTGAGCGCCGTTCCATCTGTCGTGGATTAATCTCAAAAAAAAAAAAAGACGTGAAACAAGAAAAACAGAAAAAAGGAAAATCCCAGGGGTTCCTCCCCTCTTTTCCACCCCCAGGGCAAAGGGGAACCTCCCCCTGTGTGTGCGCAAGAGGATTACGCTACTTTTCAAGGAAGTCACCGGGTCTCCTGAAACGAGAAACGTCGGACGAGGGATGGGGGAGATGCACCCTGGACGTCGGGAAATATCGGAAAAACGGGAGGGGACGGCAAAGGGAGAACCAAGGAGTCGACGAAGTGCAATAAACCTTCCCATTCCGTCTCGAATCCGTACATGGCGTCGTGTTTCCGGGGGCGAATCCCCCCGGACGGGGGAAATTGTCTCCAGCGAGTAATCGCCGAATCAGTCGCGAGGACGTTTCGGAATTCATCCCTTCGAGCGAGAAGGAGTAAGTAAGCGTGGGAGATGAGGGAAGAGGGAGAAAAGGATGAAACCGAGAGGGTAGTCGGGTTGCAGGGGGAGGATGCATTTCTTGGCCGTGACCGATGCATCCAAGAATGGGGAGAGGATGTCACCGTGGGTATGGGTTTTGGGTCGCGGTCCAGGAAAATGTTGGGCAACGGGTCGTCCTTTTCCTTCCGGCTTCCTGTCGGTCGATGTAGAGAGGTCCTTTGCGTCGTCGACGCCCGTCGACGTTAAAGCCCGTTCGTGGCTTGGCGACGTATCGACGGGTGCCATTCTCGATCCCATGGACCACCGTGCCCATGCCCATGACTAATTGCACGTAAAAGACTAATTGCGTCGCACTGCGGCACTCGTCGCGACATGGCGGCTATCGACGATCGATGTCCTGAGGAGGAAGGACCCGAAGAGCAGGTTCTTGCCCTGGATTTTGCTTCGGACCAACTCCCGGCAAGCTGGGGATGCAATATGAGAGTGCACAGGATGCACCGGGCGATGTTACGTAACGTTGGCCAGGAAGGATCCTGCCGGATCCTGGGGGTGAAAACGGGGTTACGGGGAGAGACGGGAGAGGAAAGGACGCACCCCACGTGCTGGGGCAAATCCGGGTTAGGAAGTAGCACGTCCTGGAGGCAGGAGGTGGAATCGCAACGTACTTCCGAGGGGGAGGGAAATCAGGGGACCCCGAGGGAAGAGGGGGAAGAACCGGGAGGAAGGGTTGAGCCGAGCACTCGGCGTCGCCATTCGTTCCACTTTAGAAATCCCGTCTTGAAATCTCTGCTGGAGGAATCCCCGGGTCTTGGGGGCATAATTGTGCCGCCTCCAGGAGCCGCCCCCAGGTCGCTAGAACCCTGTGATCCTTTTTTCAACCCCTGGATTCGTTTCTTCGAAACTTCCTCATTTAACCAGGGCGCGATAAAGCCTCCCGGAGTCCAATTCCGGTCCCGGGTGACCCGGCCAATTTTTCTGGAACGTCCACCTTTCTTCTGGAGTTCCGGGGGCATTATAGACCGCAGACTCCGATATCGACGTGCCTCTCGACGAACCACCCCCGCGCCTACGGGAACCCTTAATGCGTCCATCGTTAACCTACATGCTCATCGGCGCTTTCAGCGGATAGAGGATATCTCACGCTCCCGCGGTTTTACACGGCGACGGGAGCCATTGCTCGCCGCAAATGTGGCAGTCCTGGCAGAAAATTTCGAGCTTCACGCCTTGCCAGGTTGAGCTTTCCTTAAAACGTCGTCCTCTTCTCTGTGGGTGGTAGAAGTCCACCCTGCCCGGCCAAAGAGTCGAAACCCAGGGTCGACGAGGGTCATGGACCATGATTTTTCTCCTGCTTCCAGGTCACAGCGGAGCAGTCGAAGACCCAGAAATTCGAGGACAACGGGTGCTCCTTCGTGGTGGAGGTACCTCCAGGGTACCAGAGCGACGACACCGACGCCAACAAAGGATCCAGTGACGACGTGGTCGGCGAGGTTACCGACCAGCGAGCACTGGTCCATCGAGAGGAGATTCCCGAGGATCGATCTTCCGGTAACTTGAATTGCCGGAAAGGAGCGACGTCGACGGTGACGAGTCCTGGTTCCATATGCTGGAGGGATGGCTGGGGTTCCTGGGTTCCTGGGTCCTTGGGCGTGGGGGGTTTCCATTGATAGAGAAATCAGGGCCAGTCTTGACTCGGTTCGCAATTTCGAGTTGGTCGTCGGTGTTCGAATGGTTCCGCAAACCCGCGACCCGGTTACAGCCTCGACAGGGACGGTCAACCCTGGCGAAGCGACGACCACCGGCTGACCCCCGCGGGGTGGATGTTCGTGTCGCCCCTGTCGTTCTATAATTACACCCTGTCGATATTCCCCGGTAAACTTTCCTACAATGCCGGTGCCCCCAGGTTCCGTTGCACCCGTGAGCAAAAATGAGCATGCCAAGCATGAATCTGGACCAACCGGGTCCAGCATCCTTGCTCGAAAATGGGATTGCTCATTTTTGCCCCAGAGTCCATGACTGGCCATCGGCTCGAAGTGGCTCCAGGTGGCTCGGAAAGGGAGAGCCAATTATCTGTCGTAAAAAAATCGTCAGGTGACTCTGGGTCAGGACACTGGGTGGATGTTGCAGGGTTCGAGAACGCGAAGCTCTTCGGCAGCACCAACACCGGCCTCTCCCAGTCGGACCTCTCGATATTCAGCGAATATTCCACCAACCCCAGCTACCGGTACGGTAATCAGCTGGAGTACAACGCCGGTCACTTTGGGTACCCGGTGTACGAAGGGTACGACTCGGACTCCTCCAGGAGGCTGGAGGGTGGCTCAAAGTGGGTGGAGTTCGACAAGTCGCCGGACACGGAGAAGACGCTGCTGAACGAGTCCAAGTCGTCGAGCATCGAGAGGGAGGCCAGCGAGAGCGTAAGTCAGAGGTGGGGGAATCTAAGGGCACCCTGAAGAGTGGAATTTTCTCGCAGTTTTCCAGCCCGGAGAGGAGGACCCACGAAGGGTACTCCCAGGGCTCGGGGTCCTCGGAGCAGCCGGACTCGACGGACGCCAGTAATTCGACGGACACCGTCAGGTCCAACCCGAACCTGCAGGTGAACGGCACCACGCCGAACAAGCTGGAGGGAATGGAACGGAAGAGCCTGTCCAGCGAGGAGAAGGTCGAGGGCACCAAGCCCGTGGTAACCGGGGTTCTATCGAAGGACGAGGTCGTGCAGGAGGAGGAGGCCAGGAAGAAGCTGGGCAACGGGGTCCTGACGGCAGAGGAGAAGATCAGAGACCAGAAGCCCGAGGCCAGCGCTTTTGTGCCCAGCCACAAGAGGACCGGCAGCATCCCTCCCAGACTGATAGAGGAGACTCTGGAGTCCGAGAGGAAGAGGCCTCTGGACATCTACTGCCAGATCCGCACCAGCACCAAGAGCATCCTTCCGGGTCTGAGTCCCAAGTTCGAGCTCCTCCAAAACGAGGTCAGCCCTATCGAGGAGAGGGAGAGTTAATCCGAAGGACTCCCTCGGGTGCTGCTCGTGCTCCACGTAACGTAAGTGTGGTTTTCGATGCAAATCCTCTCCCTTTACGAGACGTACCGGGAATTTCCTCCTGTTCCAGTTACTCGTCCTGGATGGAGGCGCCCATGGCCTGGAGAATTTGGCAGACCCCTGACGAAGGCGATGGGAAGTGGTCCGCTGGACTTGAAAAGTGCCCCGGACGAGGGATCACCTTCTGGACGAAGGACCAGGAAATGGGAAGGAGATGCAAAGCCAGGACGTGTTCCTGGATTTTTCCTCAAGGGAAGGGAGGGCAAGAAGACGCGGCTCGGGCGGGATGAGCCGGAGGAACGTTTGTTGAGATACTTTTTCATTTTTTTTCTCCTAGCCAGGAAGGCTCCCGGCTGAAGTCGGAATCGGACCCTTAACGAGTCGGGTCGATTAATCAACGGACTCGTCCTGCCTTCGAGGACTCGCTCCTCGGGACTTTCGAGGAAGAAAAGGACCGTAGGAAAAATTATCGCCGATGAAGGAGCTATCGATTTACCGGTAGCTCCATCGATGCTTCCACGATCGTTGGGTTCCTCGGCTGATTTCCAGGATCAGCTATTTCGCAAAGGACTTCGTCCCGTGGACGTGCACGTGGAATTTAAAAAATTCCCGCGCTGAGGAGACGATGTCCTGCAAAAGATCAACCGGTCGCACCTTTGGGCACGTTATTCTCCGACAATACTCTCTGGAGTGGAGATTTCCTGATTACCTCCTAGGCAGTCGGTCCAGGACCAGGACTCGTTTCTGGGGATCGGACTTCCTGAAGGACCCACGTCGGCATTAACGAGCATCGATATCGATAGGCATTAAGATCCTAGGAGCAGTCGGGGCGACGTTAGTTAGGCGATAGCGAGATGTGGATTCTAGTGCCAGAATTAGGTCCCCTAATTTCAGGAATCGGCTCGATGGCTCTAAACCTCGAAGATCCGATCTTTTCCAGGTCCGTCGTCATCGACCCGAGTCCTGGGGGTGGTTTCTACGTATAATTAGCCGCGTTATCGACGTTTTCAGATTTTATATCGCTTGAGCATCGGTGCCGACGAGGATAATCGTCGACGGGATTGACGTAGGGGGATTTGTTTAACGCGAGCCGCGAATAATGTCGAGCCAATTCGTCGAGGTGTCGATCGCGAGTCGTTCGTCATTCCAGAATCGGGGGATAACGAACGGCGAGCGATTTGTCACGGGGAATGCGACTCTCCGCGAATGGGAACCGTAAAATAGTCAACTTGTGGGGTAGGTCGGGCACGGCCCATTGTTACGGGGTGGGGGTTGGGAAGGGCAAGGGGCTGGTGATGAATTGCTTTTTGGAGAGCCTTTTCGAGGGCGAGCCTCCTGGATTTGCCGATTCCCCGATTTCCGCGTAGGCGGAAACGCTACGTGGAGATCTCGGCGAGGGTGGGGTTTTCCTGAGGGTCTCCCAGAGATTTCCACTTCCGGCCGAGAGCGACCGCTTCCTGATCCTGTGCTCATAGTTTGGCAGTCGAGTCGTTAGAGTTAAGCGTGGCTATTATAGATTTTATATAAGAGCTAGGTGTCTAAACTTAATTCGACGAAACCATCCGAATTCCCTTTTTATCCCGGATTCCCTTACCGAACCGTCCTGCGATCTACTATTGACTCGAGTCGTGAGTCTCCGGGGCGATCGATCGATCGCACCCGCTTCGAGCGATCGATAAGAATAGCCTTTCTCAAAAAATAGGAAAGAAAAAAAAATAATAATATGGAAAAAAAAGAAGAAATCAAAAGTAGCGAAGATCCAAAATCCCTTCGATCGGTCGATCGAATCGTCCCTTTCGGACCGCGAAAAATTCGAGAGCGCGTACTTTTAACGTTAGACGAGCTTCGGTTCTTTTATAGGCCGGTTATGTGTCCTATCGATAATTTAATCAATAGGTATCTCGAATCGAGAGGGCCGCGAGGTGGGAGGAACGGAGTTCGGACCTTCGGCCTCGACGGACGTCGATCACGGGTCGATAGAAGTTCAATGCCGAGGCTCGATCGACCCCGACATTGACCCATTGGTTCGAATCGAAGTCGAGCCGGTGATCGATCGATTTTGAAATTCGCCGAGGCTCAACCTTGACCCGGCCGTTTCGGGCCTCGACTAGTGAGGATTAATTAATTATCGATTCCGCCAGGTTGCGTAAATCCCCGAACGGGCATATCGGGACTATTTTCACCGGGCACCGGCGAGGAGATTTTCAAGGATTTTTAAAACCACCTAGGTAATTGCCGACGTCACTTACTCGTAAGCTTTAGAGTACGCCTAGGGGTAGGATTAAGGACCCTAAGGGTCGACTTAAGTCTAAGTTAGGTGTCTAAGGGACGAGAGGTGTCGGGACGCCCTCGTCTCGATTCAGCCGTTCCATTGCGATCAATTACTGATAATCCGTAGGGCGTAAAGGGCGAGTCGAGCCCAGCTCTAGATCGGGAGAAGAAATCGGCGAGTCCCGGTTCTCCGGAGACAGAGACCCCGAAGAGACCCCGGAAACCAGGATCGGGTCCATCCTAGTCCTCGAGGACTTCCGGACGGCGCGAGACTCTTCCGGTCCCTTTAGTCGTGGTGCAACGACGAAGCCGAGTTTCATTTTGTACCTAGATATCTCACCGCGCGACCCTTCTTTCCCCGATTCATCGCAAAGCATCGTAGGTTATACGTGTCAATTTATTTTGCAAAATAAACGATCAAACGCTACCCCTCGTCGAGTTAATTCCCCCCTAGGAAAGGGTGGTTCCCGTGATAAGGGAAGATAAAAGCGACGACGACGAGGGGTGGAGGAACTTTCGTAAGGGGTGGGTTCAAAGCTACCCTCGAACGGTAAGGAAGGAAGCAACCCTCGGGGCTTACCCCTCGGTGGATATCTGGAGATAAAACGAGGCATCGACCACCGGAAACAACCCCTAACAGTCGGTGCCATCTGCCGGGGAATGGCGGTGGTTTCAACCCCTGGGGTTCCTCGGAGAGGCACTTCCATCCCTCGTCAGACAGGCGCCACCTACCCCATAGATTGCGAGGCCCGACCCGTCAACGAATTATGCATGCGCGTTTTTAATTCGGTAATCAATAGTAAAAACCACCCCCCGGGTGGGCCCCCTCCCGCGCCCGCGGACCACCCCTTTTGCCCAGCAACCGACCCTCGCACGCGTCCTGAAAAGGGTGCTGCTCCTGTCGCAGACTCCTGAGCGTCCCTCGTCTGGAAGCCTCCGGGACTTGGAAATTTTGTTCCCGGAGGTTTCTCCCGCGAATGGAGACATTTTAGCTTTTCTAGACAAGAGTCCGATCCGCCATCGAAATTCGGACCGGGGGAGAGGACGAGGACCAAGGGGCCCATGGGACCGAATTGCGCACCGCAAGTAATGACCGCTTATTAAACTCCGTCGCAAAAAGGGAACAGCTGCTCGAGGAGCAGGGCTCTGCCGTTATAAACTCTCGAAAGTCAACACCATGATTGGGACGGGGTATGTACACCGGCGAGTAATACCGGTTTTATCATTCCGCCGGGACGCTAATTTCCCTCTTCCTCTTGCAATTTGCGGCCCGAAATCGCCATGGAGACGCGGAATAAGCGACGCCGATCGGGGGACTCCATTTCGGGCCCTTCAATGGGGGGCGGGTTTTTCCCTCCCGAATTAGCCGCCACCCGGAAAAATCTCCCCACCCTCGAGGCGAGCATCGATTATTTCTTCCCCGGGAGCACTATGAGAATTGAATTATCAATCGTTTCATTAGCGCAGATTTAATTGTCCGGCCGTCGAATCGCGGGGCGGGGGGCGGGGAGGCCACCCTCCGGGGCGGCGGCGGCGTCGCGGTGCCAGCATACAGATACAACATTATGAAAACACGAATGTACTTTTAAATCAATACACCATCGCATTGTGAGCCGCCCGGAGGGGCGGCCGTCTCGCTCCCGACGAAACCGCCGCGGTTCGGCCGCGATTGGCCGCGACGCCGATCGACTCCCGTGACGTCCGCGAAAGGGCCTTTTTATCGGCGGGGGCTCGGGAAACGTCTAAACTGCGGATCTCTGTCGATTAAGGACCCGGATTAAGGGCTCGAAAGGGTGGAAGGAACTTCGGGGAGGAAACGTCCCTCTCCTCCCCAACCCCCTTTTTCACCCTAAAATGGTACTCGGTGCCAAAATCGCGCCGTCGTCTCCATTCCGGCCGTCATCCCCTACCCCGCTTCCGCTGCGGTTTCCCGGAGCGTCGGGGGTAAATAATTATCTCGAATAATTTCGCCCACCCTCTAAATATTGGCCCTTATTAATCCATCCACCCTGGTGGGGGGCGCATCGCATCAGGGGCCTTCAAATGGTCGGAGCGCTGATGCGTTTTCGAAAACGCGCTACCAGCCGAGCTGCGCATTCATTTCGAAATAATTCCTCCGCCGGTTCCTACTTTAATCTCTTTCCTCCCCGTGTTTTTCCGCAATTTCCCTTTTGACTCGATTCGCGCTCTCGGAAAATGCGGCCGCGGAGGACAAATGTCGCTCGTAAATCGCCGAGGGCAGGGTAGGGGGAAAGAGGGGTGGCGCCGATCGGTGGTTCAGCTTTCCCTGGAAAATCGGAGCTCAGAAATGATCACTTTTATATTTTCCTATTTTCCTTTCTTACCGAAATCTTACATGGGACTCCTCGCGGAAGGGGTGAATCCTCCCGGGGGTTGGAGGTCCGAGGGGGGGAAAAATCCGGAAGTGCATCCTGCTCATCTGAATCTGTAGAATAATCACGGTAGATAAGAGAACCGAGTAAAGAGGCCCTTCCGGAATCACCAATGAAACGCCGAATCGGGGGTGGCTTTCCCCAATTT